TCCAGGCCTGCCTTGGACACCTCCAGGGCTGGGCACTCCAAACCTCCCTGGGCAGCCCCTGCCAGGGCCTGACCACCCTTTCCAGGCAGAAATTCCTGCTGCTGTCCCACCTGAGCCTCCCCTGGCCCAGCTGGAGGCCGTTCCCTCTCCTCCTGTCCCTGTTCCCTGGGAGCAGAGCCCGACCCCCCCGGCTTCCCCCTCCTGGCAGGGATTGCAGAGCCAGAAGGTCCCCCCTGAGCCTCCTTTTCTCCAGGCTGAGCCCCCCCAGCTCCCTCAGCCCCTCCTGCTGCTCCAGCCCCTTCCCAGCTCCCTTCCCTTCCCTGGACCCATCTTGCTGCCCTTTTATATTTAGGAATCACACAGCATAATGCCCAAGCTCCAGAGCCATCCCTGTTGGTGGACATGGGTGTCCTGCTCTGCCCCTGCAGGTACTATGGCCGGAGGATGCTCTTCAGCTTGATGGCCCACCCTGAGTTTGAGAAGGCCCTGGAGAAGCACATCCCAGCCAAGGACCTGCCTTACATTAGGGAATCTGTGAGCAGCCTCCGTGAGAAGGTGTGTGGGAAAGCTCTTGTTTAAACAACAGCTGGGACAGGTGAAGGTGTTGTGGGGCTTTAGCTGTAGACAGTCTCCAGCACTGCAGCCACGAGAATTCCCTGTGATTTCCTGAATTAATGTTGTACCTCTGTGCAGGGTCTGGGGGAGATGCCATTGGACACACCCTCTGCCAAAGGAAGACGTTCCCAGACTGGCAGTGTTGGACATTTGAGGTCGTCCCCCACCTCCAGAGATGCTCTCAGCGTCCCGGACAGGTAATGACCTCCAGTGGCTTATCCTCAGAGGAGCTTGACCAGGAAGAGGGTGTACAGACATCCACACAGGGCTGGGAAAATTAAACATTCCTGTAGGAAAAGGAAAACTGTGACCTATCCCTGTTAAACTCTTAAATACAGTGACTGGTAATTTTGAAGTTAATTTGTCTGTTGACCACCCATGAAATACACACAGCACACAAACCTCTTGGAATTCACACGATGGAATCACAGAATCAGGGCATGGTTTGGGTCAGAAGGGAGCTTAAAGCCCATCCAGTGCCACCCCCTGCCATAGGCAGGGACACCTTCCGTGTTGCTCCAAGCCCTGCCCAGCCTGGCCTTGGACACTGGGATCAGTTTTCAAAGTTCTTTGGGAATAAAGGCTTAAGCTACAGTAAGTTTGGGGGGAGGTTTGACCCGTTGATGGGAGGGAAGTTCCCAGCTCTTACTGGTCACAAAACCAGCTGCATTTGGAGCAGAATGGATATGGGACTGTGGGAACAACAATTACTACTGAGTGGTTTAATTTTAAATCAGTGTGTTTAAAGTGAAAGATTTTCTGTTCCCTTCTGATATTTACATTTAGATGGGAAGAGAATGTCTGGGATGAGACTCCTGTTCCAGCTTGCTCCTGTGCTCACTGATGACGTGTTCCTTCCCCACAGGGACGGCACAGAAGCCCGGGAGGTGCCACGGAAAGCAGCTCCTCGCAGTGCCCTGGAAAGTGAAGAGTATGTCAAGGATATTGTAGGTTTGTTGAATGCCAAAGACTTCAGAGAGAGGATAACTGGCATCAGGCAGCTGCTGCTGGACACAGAGAACAGTCCAGGCCTGGTGGTTGCAAACCTTGTGAAGGTAACTGTGGGAAAAGGTTGGATTTCAAAGGTCTTTACAGTTGGGTCACTGAAGGTTTCTGATAAAAATCCTGACTCCCTCTTTGATTAGGGATGGTTAACAGAGAGCTTTGAGGAGCAGGGGAGGACTGGGGGAGCTACAAAGGGAGAAAGGAAGTAAATAGAAAAAAGCTGGAAGTTTTCACTCAGAGAAGGCACTTTTGAACTACTGCCCAGAGCAGCTGTGGCTGCCCCTGGATCCCGGGAGTGTCCCAGGCCAGGTTGGACAGGGCTTGGAGCAACCTGGGCTAGTGTAAGGTGTCCCTGCCCAGGGCAGAGGGGTGGAACAAGATGGGTTTGAGGTCCCTTCCAACCCAAACCATGCTGTGATTCCATGATTTCTGCAATACTGTGTGCTGTGTCCATGCCACTCTGGGTAAACAGCAAAATACTGGATAGGTTGTAAAAAGAGCAGCAAGGATTAATCAAGATCTGAGAATCTGTCTCTGAAGTGGAGTTGTGGGTTTGTTTGTGTGGGAGAAGGTGGGGAAGGTCTTTATTATGGAAAAGGTCAGGGTGAGGATCCTGTCTGGTAGGAAAGGAGGCCTTTCTTTAGGAGAAAGAAGAGGTCCAGCAGCTGTAAATTAAAGACAGGTAAAGGAGAGCAAACCCAAGCTTATCCTCCTACAGTGCTGTGTCTCTGTATGGAATGATGGAATTCTGCTGTGGAACTTCCCAGTGTCTGAACTGCGAATGGTGTGAAACCTTTCAAGCACTGTCTGTGCTGAACAGAGCCATGTCTTCCCAAAAATCCTGGCTTGCAGGAAATTTTAGTCCTAGGAAGTTACAGGTGGCTGGTTTACCTGCAGTCCATTGCACAGCAGGGATTCAGATCAGATGAGGTGAGAGAGGGTTGAAGTATTAAAATATCAAATGCTGCTTTATTTGCTCAAGAAATGATTTTGGGTGTTTGCATATCACAGAATCCCAGAATGGTCTGAGTTGGAAGGGATCTTAAAGACCACCCAGTTCCAGCCTCTGGAGATGCCAGAGCCCTGTTTTGCCAAGATGGACAATTAAAGTGTAACAATAGCTCAGGAAATGTACTCTCCATCTCAGGCATTCATTCCTAACTCCAAGAATGCTGTCTGGATGCTTTTCCAGATCTTTGACGCTTTCAAGTCTCGCCTCCACGACTCCAACAGCAAAGTGAACCTGGTGGCTTTGGAGACGATGCACAAGATGATTCCACTGCTCAAAGACAGCTTGGCCCCTGTGATCAACATGTTAATTCCTGCCATAGTAGACAACAACCTCAACTCCAAAAATCCAGGGATTTACGCAGCTGCCTCAAACGTTATCCAGGCTCTCTGTCAACACTTAGGTGAGTCATTTACTCTCTCTTAAGCTTAAAGAGTTTTAGTTAAAGTCAAATTTGAAAGTGCCACTCTTTCCAAGAGTTTCACAGGATTGTTACTCTGTGTAATGAGTCACTGGGTTTATTCTCATACCTCTTAAGCCACACGAGGCATCCTGTATTTTGTCAGTAGGTGGTTTGGTTATTTTTCCAGAGCAGCTGTTTGTTGTGGTGAAGGGGCACAGGTTGGGCAGAGAAGCTGTGGCTGCCCCTGGAAGTGTCCAAGGCCAGGTTGGAGCACCCTGGGCTGGTGGAAGGTGTCCCTGCCCATGGCAGGGGTGGCACTGGATGGGCTTTGAGGCCCCTTCCAATGGTTCTCTTAAGAATATGTTTTTATGCTCTTATTCCTTTCAATCTGTCACTGTGATTTTTGAAGCTGATATTAGTAAGATTCTTATTTACATTTTCCCACCCTGTGTTTAATTTTCCATTTAGAGATTGTAACCTGTTCTGCTCTTTGCCCTCAGACACCTCTCTGCTCCTGCAGCCCTTCTGCACAAAGGCCCAGTTCCTGAACGGCAAAGCCAAGCAGGACCTGACAGAAAAGCTGGCTGGTAAGGGGGGTTTGCTGGGCATGCTGGTCTGGTACCATCTTCATCAGGGGAGTTAATTGCTGGAGGGTGGTGGCTCTGTACCTGCAATGTATAAATATGTATCAGTATCTTAAGGGTTTAATTTACACTGAAATACCTTAGGTATTTAAGTCTCTTAAGGATTAAGATGTATACATTGCTTAAGTGTATTATAATTTTAATAGGGAATTGCATTCCCTCTCCCAGTGATAATTCTTTCATGCTCTTTCCAGGAATCCCAGAATGGTTTGGGTTGGGAAGGGACCTTAAAAAACTCCCAGAGCCGCCCCTGCCATGGGCAGGGACACCTTCCACCAGCCCAGGGTGCTCCAGCCTGGCCTTGGACACTTCCAGGGATCCAGGGGCAGCCACAGCTTCTCTGCCCAACCTGTGCCAGGGCCTGCCCACCCTCCCAGCCAGGGCTTTCTTGAAAAATGCTAAATTTTCCTGTTTTAAGAAAGCAGGGAATGTCCTTATGGGAAATACTCTTGACCCAAACACGTGACTTGGCTTCCTTTCAGAGGAATTCTGTGTGAAATGGAACTAAAGGACACACTGGACAGTCTGTGCTTATAAATATATATATATATATATAATCTGTGCAGGGCAGGATTTGGATTAGATGGTCCTGGTGGGTCCCTTCCAGCTCAGGATATTCTGTCATTCTATGATTCTGTATTTATGGTATAAGGCTACTTTTTCCCCTTAAACTCCACTACCTACTGTTTATTTCTGAGATAAACGGGAAACTGGAAAAAACAGATGTGTTACTCTGTGAGAAATTGGGGCCCTTTTGAGAATCCTAACTAAGAAAAAAACTTGGAAAAAACCTTTATTTCTTTTACTTGTTTTAATTTAATGGAAAATGGTAACTGTCAGCAGCACTGGTGCTACGGTGTGAACTTCTGGAAGAGGATAAAAGGGGTGTCTGTACAGAAATCTGGAATGTTTTATGGGAACAGCAATGGTGTTGCAACACCAAGCTCTTGTATAGAGCAGCAAGGAATCATCTGCAGTGTGTTTCAGTGAGTGTGTAGGTTCTGAAAGGCTCCCTGCTGTGTTGCAGAGCTGGTGCCAGAGCTGTACCCACGCAAGCCCTGGGCTGTGGAGCAGAAGGTGCTGCCGGTGCTCTGGCCCCTCCTGGGGAACACGTCCAGCAGCGGCTCCGGGGCCGGCGGGAGCCTCCGGACGGCCACGGCCAGCCTGGCCAAAGCACTGTTTGCACAGATGGGGCCCAGCCTGCTGGCCCACGCTGCAGCCCAGCCAGCACACGTCAGGAAGGCTTTGGAAGAGCTGCTGGAGACAGGAACGTAAAACCACCAGTGCTGAGGGCGAAACACCACCGGCCCCCTGACCCAGGCACGCAGACAGGGACACGGGACAAGGTGGGAACATCCCTGTGTCGAGGGTACACAGTGCTGGAGGAGCTGCTGGGAGAGCCTGTCTGAACGGGGCAGGGTGGGGCTGGCTCCCCTCCCTGCCCCCAGCCCATCTGTGCTTCCCTTGAGAGGATCCAGGCCCCTGGATTGCTGGTGAACCCCCACACACGGTCTCATCAGCACCACGCTTTGCACGGATGAGTGGAAGAGAACCCTGGGCACAGGGGTGCAGAACCACAACATTCTGTGTGCTGTTTGTGAAGAACACGTGTTTTTGTACCCACTCAGGCAGCTGTGCAGTATTGGCTGGGCAGGAGCCACCACTCTGGTGGGCCCTTCTCCTTCCCCGGCTACAGGCTCTGTACGCATTGGACATGGGACCTGACAGGATAAATAAATAAAGGGATTTATTTCTGTAAAGGGATGTATTTCCGTGAAGGAATGGGGTGGAGTGGCTGCTGGCAGATACGGACTGGGGGTGCTGGTGACAGCAGCTGAACGTGAGCACAGGTGGGCAGGAAGGCCGGGGGCATCCTGGCTTGGATCGGGAATGGTGTGGCAGCAGGACCGGGGCAGGGACTGTCCACTGTGCAGGCACCGGTGCAGCCACACCCCAAATCCCCTGTCCAGTTCGGGCCCCTCAGTTCAGGAAGGACACGGAGGGGCTGGAGCGTGTGCAGGGCAGGGAAGGGAGCTGGGAAGGGGCTGGAGCAGCAGGAGGGGCTGAGGGAGCTGGGGGGGCTCAGCCTGGAGAAAAGGAGGCTCAGGGGGGACCTTCTGGCTCTGCAATCCCTGACAGGACACTGTAGGGAGGTGGGCTCTTCAGCCGTGCCTACAGCGAGGGGAGCAGAGGAATGGCCTTAAAATGACACAGGGGAGATTCAGACTGATACTAGAAAAAAGTTTTTCGCTGAAGGGGTAGTCGGGCACGGGAGGGGCTGCCCAGGGAGGTGGCGGAGCCCCCGCCCCGGGGGCGTTTGGCGCTGGGATGTGGCGGTGGGCGGTGGTTTGGTACTTAGGGGAGAACTGAGCTGAACGCTCCTGAAGGTCTGTGGCGTCCTGCACTGCCCCGTGCCTCCCCGGTGCGTTCCCGCGGGGCTGTTCCGCTCCCGTGCCCGTGCCCAGCGCTGAGGGCAGCGGCGCCATTGCGCGGGCCGGGCTGGGGCTGTGGCGGTTGGTGCGCACGCGCGGCGGGAGGCGGGCGGCGCGCGCGCGGGGCGCTGTGCGCGTGCGCGGTACGTGAGGCCCGGCGGCTGCGGCTCCGGCAGGTACGGACGGGGGGGGCTCTGAGGGAGCGGGGCCGAGGGGGCTCTGAGGGGGCTCTGAGGGAGCGGAGGGGCCCAGGGGACTCTGAGGGTGCTCTGAGGGGGTTTGGGCGGGCCGCGGGCCGGGGACAGCCGGTCGGCAGAGAGCCGAGCCGGGGGGCCGTGCCGGGCCATGCGCCCTGTGGGCCCCGCCGCCTCCCGCGGCCGGGCCTCGGGTCCGCCTGACGGGGAACCGTGGCGTGTGTCCCTAGTGTCTCCCCATGTTCCCCCGTGTCCCTGGTATATCCCCGTGTCTCTGCTCGCTGCGCTGGAAGGGCCGTGCGGTGCCGGCCCCGCTCGCGTGTGACGTTGTCGCTCGTTCGGAGCCGGAGGGGCCGAGGGCGGGAGGGAACGGCCCCGACCGCGCCGGCAGGGTCGTCAGGAGGGATTTATCCATGGGAAGGGTGGTCAGGCCCTGGCAGGGGCTGCCCAGGGAGGTTTGGAGTGCCCAGCCCTGGAGGTGTCCAAGGCAGGCCTGGAGTGGCACTCAGTGCTCTGGGCTGGGGACAAGGTGGGGATGGGGCACAGGGGGATCCATGGGCTGGGAGGGCTTTGCCAGCCTCAGTGGCTTTGGTATTCCGTGATTGCCCCGGTCCTGGCACGGCTGCAGGGTCCGGGCACTCCCGGCCCTGCCCGGGTGGTTCCAGCAGCGCCTCCTCGGCGCCGGGAGCGGGCAGAGCTCAGATAAGGCCCCGCTCCTGCCCCTTGGAGCTTTTCCTACCCGTTCCCCTCTAGGTCATTCCCGTTCGTAAGCGGCCGTTCTGTGTAGAATAGGCTGAATAAAACACGCTGATATGAGTAATTTAATACCAGAGTGTGTAGGTGTCTGATACACCCGTTCGGTTATTTCGCCTGAGTGGTGTAAAAACTCCTGGAATTAAGGTAAAAGCCAGGAATTAGGGCGAGAAACGCTGGAACTAAGGTAAAAAAAAAAAAAAAGAAAAAAAGCTGGACTTAGTTTTCTCTGGTGTGCCCCAGCTCTGTGCCCACCCACGTTCTCCCTGGGCTGGAGCAGTTGGTGGCCCGGGCATGGCCTGTCCCCTTGGCTGGTTCAAACCGTGGATTGCTGTCAGATTTTTGGGATACGCCCCGGCTCCAGGGGCGGGACTGGAACAGCTGTCAGACAGACCGAGTCGATTTGGAACCTCGTGTGCAGCTCAGACCACGTGTGGTGATCCAAGGCTGCTTCTCCCTCTTCCATTTTTCCCCTCCTAATCTGATGACACGTGAATCGGTTTTTTAACTGGAATACATCTTCTGAACCAGCTGGAGGGTGAAAACATCTGTTGCACATCAGAATAAGTTTTGGGCCTGTGTTATTCCGTGTTAAAAACTGTTGCATTTGTTCATAGAATCATGGAATCATAAAGGTTGGTGTCCAAATCCAGCCACCCCCCCAGCACTGCCAAGGCCACCACTGACCCATGTGCCCAAGTGCTTTTAAATCCCCCCAGGGACAGCAGCTCTCCACTGCCCTGGGCAGCCTGTTCCAACACCCTTTCCATTAACGTGGAAATAACCCTTTAACATTGTGCTGGAGTTCCATGGCTTGGTGAACTCCTGGGAAAACATGAACTGTTATCCCAGATGCTGAAGCTCCTGAAGATATGGGATTTTTCCTTTCTGTAAGGAATTTTCCTCCTGCTATTTCACTGGTGGTTTATAACCGTATTTGTCAAAGTGAAAGCAGTGGTCTGGCTGTTCTCTGTCCAGGCTTTCAGTAGTAAAGAACTCTGGAGAGACATGGGATGGAGACTTCTCTTTTCTCCTGTAAATGCAGAATGTATCTGCCGGCTCCTCTGAGGGAACCAAGGGAACAGGAGCGGTGCAGTGTGTTTGAGGGTGTCGGTGGCCCCCTGTCCCTCTCCCAGCTGCACTTGCAGCTCTGAGCTGTTGTGCCCTGGCTGCTGGTGTTCCCTGGGGTCCCTTAGCCATGGGGGGCGTGGGGAAGGCTCAGATGAGCACCCCTGCTCCAGCTCCAGGCGGGAATGCCGGATCAGGAGGCAGGGTGGATCAGGAGGCAGGGTGGCACACAGCCAGGGCAGGCTGGCCTGGCACTGCTGCAGGAGGGCAGGGCTGGGCAGTGGCTCCTGGCAGGGAGATCAGAGGCAGGAGGGGGAGGAAGGAGGAGTCTGTCCCGAGGGGTGGGAGGAAGTGCCTGGCACTGGGTGTGGGTGGGAGCGAGGGGCTGTGTGTCAGGGACAGCCTCAGCCCTTCTGTGGCCCTCTGGTGCCGTTGGTTCATTTGGACTTCACCGAGGGGGACTGAGTCTGGTGCTGGCAGTAATTCTTGTCTTTGCAAAGTCATCACTTAAGCCAAGCACTGAGGATACGTTTTACCACCTATTTGTTTTGCAAAGATATTACTGATTTGTACTACATAGGAGAACTGAATGAATTTAGGGACATGGGTTAGTGGTGGCCTTGGCAGGGGTTACTTGGATTTTACTGTCTCAGAGGGCTTTCTCAACCTGAATGATTCTATGAGATTTGAACATAATTATTTAGAATAAACTTCCACTGGACTCGTACAGGAAAACTAATGATTGACTTTTACACCTCAATAGCTCCCTGTGTTAGTTTTCTAGAACACCCACAGCAATTCATGTGTGCAGATGTGCAGATCCCTGACTGCTGTTAAGGGTTCTGTAGTGGTGATAAGGCTGGTGCCCAGAGATGTGGTGAGGGCTGTGGTGCAGTCCAGGGTGCCTGGAGCATTGGGAGGCTCTGGGCGCTGAGCACACCCAGCTCTGTGCCAGTCCTTGCTGCAGCAGTGCTGAGCTGTTTGCTTTGCACAGGCCCTGGTAGCACTCCCTGCGCCATGGAGAGCGCTGAGGCCACGGAGGAGGAGCAGCCCACCGTGAGCAGCGATGGCACCGAGCCTGGCACCGAGCCTGGCACAGAGCCTGGCACAGAACCCGGCACAGAGCCCACCATCCAGGAGCAGCACATGGACTTCAGCACCGAGATCATGAGTGTCACCGAGATGGAGCAGTCCCCGGACAGCTCCCCGGACCTCAACGAGGAGAACACACAGGAGAGTGAAATTCCAAATATTGAGAGTTTACAGACCACAGACATTGAGGCTGGCTTCCCTCCGGATTTTGACAAGTTCTGGAAAGTGGTAGACGACAATCCCCAGGATTTCACTGGATGGGTATATCTACTCCAGTATGTAGAGCAGGAGGTTAGTACCTGCCCCTTTCTCCTCAGCCTTCCAGAAATAAATAAGCCAGACTAAAACAAGTCATGGGTGTCCAGTGGTAAATGTAGAACTGGACACTGGGCTGTCATGGATGCTACCTTAAGGCAGCTGCCCTGGCCAGTGTTGTGACAGAACTGTAAAACCCCAGACTGGTGTGGGTGGGAAGGGACCTTAAAGCCCGTCTTGTTCCACCCCCTGCCTTGGCAGGGACGCCTTCCATAGGCCAGATTGCTCAATGTCAGCAGAGATCACAAGACAGGTGTTAATAATTGCTGTGTAAATAGCGGGAAGGTCTGTTGAAAGGCAGGACTGATTGCTGTCCCTGTACCTCTCCCCCAGAACCACTTGCCGGCGGCCAGGAAGGCCTTTGACAGGTTCTTCACGCACTACCCGTACTGCTACGGGTACTGGAAGAAGTACGCGGACCTGGAGAAGCGGCACGACAACGTGAAGCAGTCTGACGAGGTACGTAGGGCAGCACCACTGCCGGTCCTGCCGCCTGGCACCGGGCTGCCCGTGCCTGCCCCGTGTGTGCCCGTGTCACACTGTGCCACCCGGAGCTAACCTTCTCTCTCTT